TGGGGTTACTATTATATCTAGAAATTATATGATAGGTACCGTTAATCCAAGATTCAAAAACTGTCAAATAATGTTTTGCCTAAAAAGGAAAGATGTGGCCACAAGGAGCAGTATAACATATTCACTAACAAATCAGCTATAATTAACCTCATTCCTTTTTTGGCATGGCCCCCACACTTAGTTACTAACAAGGTAAACATAACACTAATGGGTTTAGCAAGGCACCTAGCACAGTCTCCCACAACACACCGTTAGGCATTTGGGAAAACTAGGGTAGGCCTGGTGATGGTTCAGCAAAGCAGCTTTGCATGTGGCTGATGGTGCTTACCAAAGGTGATGTAAACCTGAAGGGAAGTGTATGAGGCCATTAGTCTGTGAACTTTTATGAACAAATTAGACAAGAGCTTTAATGGCAGTCTCATAAACTGTAACTTCTCATTAGAAGAGATAAGCACATAATGCTTCATGATGGATTCAAGACCCAAAAGGAGTTCCCCTCACAGACCAGAAAAACAAGCCGAGGTTCCTTGAATTTTTTTTTCTCTGTGTGTAGTCTTTAAAGTAGTTTTGATGACTGTAGACAGCATGGTCTGAAGTTACAGAGAAAACAATAAGGCTTAAGTGCTTTACTCCTCACCAAAAGCAAGAGAAATGCTAAAGTACTCATCTTCCCATATATTAGAGAGATATTCCTTCTACAGGCTTCACAGGTGGCACTAAGGACCTACTTGCCAATGTAGGAGATGTAAGAGACTGGAATTCGACCCCTGGTTTAGGAAGATCCCCTGGAAAAGGAAATGGCAGCCCACTTCAGTATTCTTCCTTGGAGAAGTCCCCATGGACAGAGGAGCCTGGAGAGCTACAATCCATGGGGTCATAATGCGTCAGACACAACTGAGCATCTGAGCACACAGCACAGGTGTTTCATAGAGTTCTTTTTCTTTTATTTTTGGCTGTGCTGGATCTTCATTGCTATGCACAGGCTTTCTCTAGTTGCTGTGAGTGAGGTTACTCTTCGTTGCAGTGTGTGGGCTTCTCATTGTGGTGGTTTTTCTTGTCGCAGAGCACAGGCTTCAGTAGTTGTGGTGCACAGGCTTAGTTGCCCTGAAGCATGTGGGATCTTCCTGGACCAGAGATCAAACCTATGTCCCCTGCATTAGAAGGAGAGTTCTTAACCATTGGACCACCAGGGAAGTCTTCATAGCATTCTGGTGAGGCTTTGCGGAACACCAGATAGGGGCTCTTGACTTGCCTCTCTTGGACTGGTCTTGCTGCACTGTGGTCTGTTTTCCCCATGGCCACCAGGGTTATCTTCCAAAGCCTGCATCTCATCCCTTCGTTGTTGTTCAGTCACTCAGTCGTGTCTGATACTTTGCAACCCCATGGACTGCAGCACGCCAGGCTTCCCTGTCCTTCCCCAACTCCCAGAGTTTGCTCAAACTCATGTCCATTGAGTCGGTGATGCCATCCAACCATCTCATCCTCTGTCATCCCCTTCTCCTGCTGCCTTCAATCTTTCCCAGCATCAGGGTCTTTTCCAGTGAGTCAGTTCTTCACATCAGGTGGTCAAAGTATTGAAGCTTCATGCTTCTGCATAAAACACAGTAATGGTTTCCCCCATGGTCCCCAGAATAAAGCCCCAGTTTCCCAGAGTGGGGTCTTCCTGACCTGTCCCCAGCTTAGCTCAGCTTGTGCCAACCCTCCTTCCTGTAGTGTCTTCTCCAGCCACCCTACATTTCCAGGGACTCCTGCTATTTTGCCATCTGGCCTTTGTGCCTCTGTTCTCTCTGCCTGAAGCATGCTTCCTCCTCCCTTCCCCTGGTGCATCCCAGCACCCCTTCTCCCGGCTGATGCTCCTCATTCTCAGCGTGGACCTCTCCCCCCAGGAGACCTTCCCTGCCCCTCCCACGTGCTCCCTGTGTGCCCCATGCTTCACCCAACACTGCTCTTCCCTGGGTTGCACTTGTTTACTTATTTAGGTAGCAAGAAATTTTACTCTTCACTACTCAGGTACAAGAAATGTCACATTGCATGATTACTAAATCAAAATTAAATGTGCTTCTCCTTCTCATTCTCTTGAATCATAAGAATCCAATCTCTGCACTTTCTCCCTGCTCCACACTCCCAAGATTTCTGAATTCATGCAACACCAGAAAGCTAGTTCTCCAGCGGCAAGAGGCTGCAGTTGACAGCTGGGTGCCGGTTGTCTGATTAACTCAGGGACCGCCCCTCACCCCAGCACTCCTCTCCACCAGTGGCAGGAAAACACAGCCCCCTCACAGCTGCACAAGCCTCAGTATGCAAGGGCCAGTCAGGCTTGATTCCCTGGTGAGGCAGAGTTCACTTCCCCTTATACACCCCACCATAAACAGGAACCCCTCAATCTCCTTTTATTTATATCTTGGGAAATCTCAGATGGTAAAGTATCTGCCTGCAATGCAGAAGACCCATGTTCAATCCCTGCATTGAGAAGATCCCCTGCGGGAGGGCATGGCAACCCACTCTAGTATTCTTGCCTGGGAAACCCCATGGACACAGGAGCCTGGTGGGCTATAGTCCAAAGGGTCGCAAAGAGTTGGACACGACTGAGCAGCTAACACTTAGAGCTTAAGGAAACCTCCACCCCTCTGTCCCCCACACCCATGTACACTGTCAGACTCAGGGGCTAGCCTTACACCCATGTGAGATAGGATGGGTAAAAGGTAATTGGGTTTCACAAGCACCATGCAGGACTCTACATCTAGCTAGAAACAGAAAAAAAGTCTGGATGTACATTGCTCCACACTCCACTGGTAGCAAAGCAAAAGCAATGTAAAAACCAAATACCAGTTATTTTTTTAAAAAAACCCTCCACCTGTCACACAGTTTTTCCTCCCCACTGAGAGAAGAGGGAGAATGCATGGGCTCACCATGACTTTGTACTTGCTGTGTGGTAGGTGTTTGAACCTTTACACTATACTGCTAGACAGGAAACTCTCTTTAGAAATGGGCACGCTTGTTAATAGTTCAATAGCCTAGTGTGTTAGTTGCTCAGTCGTGTCCAACTCTTTGTGACCCCGTGGACTGTAGCCCACCAGGCTCCTCCATCCACAGGATTTTCCAGGCAAGAATACTGGAGTGGGTTGCCCTTCCCTTCTCCAGTGGATCTTCCCAACTCAGGGGTTGAACCTGGGTCTTGCACATCGCAGGCAGGCTTTTTACCGACTGAGCCACCAGGGGAGCCCTAAATAGCCTAGAATAGGAGTAAAAAGCGTAGAATTTGACAATCTGGATTTGAACACATGCCCCTTATAAGCTTGTGACTTGATGTACCTAGAATATTTGACATCCAAGTAGACCATTATTTTTAATGTCCTCTCCTCTATATAGCAGAACTTTTTCAGTAATACTCATGTGATAATCAGTAAATGGTCATTAGTTCCTTGATTAATTCTTTAGTTTCAAAACAGTAGTCTTTAAAAAGTATGTTTTGAAGCTAAGGATACCCAAAGTCATCCAAATATTTAATGAGTGAACTATTTATACTTACTAAACAAAGACGTATACCTTGCACTGGCAGTTGTTTTATTACTTTAGATTTTAAAGAAAAATGAAAACTCCAAACTGTTCACATAGAATGACAGCATTAAAGTGACTCAAGTTTTGTCCTTTGTCTTTACAATCATGTGCTATCATTGCTTATTTTAAATTTAGTATGTAAACATAGGAATGGGTAGTACCACGGGGGTTCAAGATACAGGTTACACTCAAAGTAAGCTTGGGTCCCTTACACTTGTGCATGCACACACACACATATATCCACATTCATTGGAGAGTATTCATAATAGTTAAAAAGTGGAAGCAACCCAAGTGTACATTGATGGATGAACAGACAAACAAAATGTGGTACCTATATGCTGTGGGATATTATTCAGCTGTTAAAAAGGAAGAAAATTCTGACATATGCTCCAAAATGGATAAACCCTGAAGACAGTCTGCTAAGTGAAATAAGCCAGTCACAAAAGGACTATGTGGTTCCACTTGCATGTGGTACTTAGACTTGTCAAAGCTCTTTTGGCAAAAAGTAGAATGGTTGTTGCCAGGGGCTAGAGGGAGAGGTAGTTGAGGCATTATCATTTAGTTGGTTCAAATTTTCAGTTTTGCAAAATGAAAAGAGTTCTGGGGATGGATGGTGGTGATGGTGGCACAATAATATATTTAATGTCACTGAGCTGTACACGTAAAAATAGTTAAGATGGTAAATTTATGTTATATATATTTTACCCACAAATTTTTAAATGCTGGTTGGGTGGAGAGGGAGGTGGGAGGGGGGATCGGGATGGGGAATACATGTAAATCCATGGCTGATTCATGTCAATGTATGGCAAAAATCACTGCAATATTGTAAAGTAATTAGCCTCCAACTAATAAAAATAAATGGAAAAAAAAAGTTAGTCTGACTTTTTTTTGTTAGTTGCTCAGTCGTGTCCAACTCCTTGCAACCCCATGGACTCTAGCCCCCCAGGCCCCTCTGTCCGTGGAATTCTCCTGGCAAGAATACTGGAGTGGGGAGCCATTTCTTTCTCCAGGGAATCTTCCTGACCCAGAGATCGAACCCAGGTGTCCTGCATTACAGGCAGATTCTTTACCATCTGAGCCACATTATATTTAAATTATCTGCAGCCAGTGCACCTCCTTATTGCCTGAACTCAGGACAACCACAACCATACCCACCTCTTAATGTTCTTCTGGACTTTTAGCAAGTTTCTTAACTTCTTTGAGTCTTAGTTTGCTTATTAGCAAGATGGGGATAATAATTTCTTCAAGGAGTCATTGAAAGAATGAAGTAAACTACCCTTGGCTCATAGTAAATGCTTAGCAGTGGTAGTGTTGTATTCATATTTAAATGATTTTTAGATGCCAGGGAAGTGATAGAAATCAAGTTGGCAGAACTAGAAACTGGCAGCATGATACATGAGTCCTTTTTTAGAAGAGAGTGTAGCAAAGTGCAGTGTACACTTTTCACCTACCGCTTCAGTTTGGTGACTGTGAGCTCCTCGAAGGGCCCAGGCCCATCCCGCTGCTGCTACTGACCATCCAAACCCAAGCAAATATCCTGTCCATCTTTGAAATTAACAGGAGTCAGCCTCACAGATTTAAAGTGTCCCCTTCAGCCAAACAGCACCCAGAGGGTGTACTGTGTACCAGGCTCAGCAACATTATCAGCATCTTCTTGATCTTTCGGCAAACGTTGGGAAACTGGAAGTGCACACGGAGTGGTATTGACAATGTTTAGCTGTCATTAGGGCTTCCTCTCTCGTAAAGTGAGTTTATGATGATACTTTTTAGAATACTCTTCTGTGTGACATTTATTCATTCTCAGGGGCAGCTTCTGCTTCTGCAGCAGGCAGGAAGTTGTACTTGTTCCTGCAGAAACAGGATATCATTGACCACATCTGACGTGACAACACAGGGAGGAAACCCATTGCCTTTGCTAAGTGTATGAGACCAGCTACTGCTACAAGAGTTTAAAAAAAAAAAAGAAAATAGGAAAGAATACACAAGCCAGTATAATGTACAGAGCACATGCCATACAAAGTAAGACGACAGGGTCTTTAGTTCCAGAAGCTGTTTCTTTGAAAAAAGAAAGACCTGCAGCAAGCCCAAAACAGTCATTTGCTCCCAGCTACACCAAACTTCAGGGCTTCCCTGGTGGCTCAGATGGTAAAGAGTCTGCCTCCAGTGCAGGAGACCCAGGTTTGATCCCTGGGTCAGGAATATCCCCTGGAGAAGGGAATGGCAACCCACTCCAGTATTCCTGCCTGAAAAATCCCACAGAGGAGCCTATTGGGCTACAGTCAATGGAGTCACAAAGAGTCAGAAACGACTGAACGACTAACACTTCACACCAAACTAAGACTTAATTGCAACTTCAATCCCTCCCAGAAATGTGACCTTTGCAGGAGTCAATCTGAAATTTCCTGGTCAACACTGATGGTGTAATCTGCAGGATAAAGACCCTTGCCATTCCTTTCCTTCCAAAGAAGGCCAGGTCTGAAACAATCCTTTCTTTTCTTATGCTAATAATATTCTTGCCCCACTCTCCTTCTGCCTATAAAAACCCTCCATTTTGTATAGTCTCTCAACAGGCTTACTTCAATTTAGTGCATTTCAGATACAGTGTTTTTTACAAACTGAACGTTTGTGGCAACCTTGTATTGAGAAGTCTGTCAGAGCCATTTTTCCAACAGCATTTGCTGTCTTCTTGTTCCTGTGTCACATTTTGGTAATTCTCAAATTATTTCCAACTTTTTCATTATTATCATATTTGCTATGGTGATTGTAGTATTGCAAAAAATTTATGACTCGCTGATGTAGTTAGCATTTTTTAGCAATAAAGTATTTTTAAATTAAGGTATTTGTTGTTGTTTAGTCGTTAAGTAGTGTCCTACTCTTTGCAACCCCATGGACTGTAGCCCGCCAGGTTCCTCTGTCCATGAGATTTCCCAGGCAAGAATACTGGAATGGGTTGCCATTTCCTTCTTCAGGGGATCTCCCAGACACAGGGATCAAACCCATGTCTCCTGTATTGGCAGGGGATTCTTTACCACTGAGCCACCTGGGAAGTCCTGATTTAGGTATGGGCATTTTTTTTCTTAGATATAATGTTATTGCACACTTAGTAGACCACAGTAGGACTTTCCTGGTGGTCCACTGGCTAAGACTCCATGCTCCCAATGCAGGGGGCCCAAGTTCGATCCCTGGTCAGGGAACTAGATCATGTGGCACAGGTAAAGGTTCACAGCTACAACTAAGAGTTTGAATGCCAAAGATTCCATGTGCCACAACCAAGACCAAGTGCAGCCAAATAAATAATTTAAATATGTACTTAAAAAAATAGGCCACAGTAAAGTGTGAACACTGGGAAACAAAAATTTTATATGCACTGGGAAACAAACATTCATGATTTACTTTATTGCAATATTTGCTTTGCTGTGGTGGTGTGGAACCACCACTGAATACTTTCCAAGGTATGTCTGTATTTACCAGATGGAATGCTGCCTGCCTGATTCGTGAATCCCTGAATAAGACCAATTGGATCTTCAAACTCACTCAGTTCAGTTCTGTTTTTTAACAAAACTTAATAACCTCTTGATTTGGGATTTTAAAATTAACTATAGAAGATAGTTTCCCCTTTTTTTGCATAATGGGCAAGCCACTTCGAAATATGAGTTTTTTAAATCAGTGACAACTACTGATGGGGATTCTGAGATTCAATGGCAGTAATATTACCAGAATTTAATAGGAACATAGTTTTTTTTCCCAAAGAGTGAATTAAAAATAACTAACCTTATTTTTCAAAAGGAGCTAAAGACAAGAGATAGAGAGAGAATTATCTTCAGAGCCTTATTTGGCACACTACAAACAAGTATCCACAGTGAATTAGGCAGTCATTTTTGACTTGAAGGACATTTTTAAAAGGCTACCCTTTGAATGACAAAATGAGTTTTCAGCGCTCCACCACCACCACCACAGGTCTTTTTCCCTGAATACTGGTATAGGTGTAGAAGGAGATGTTTTGAAGTGTAACTCAAGTTTATATAAGAGACAAAAGCCACATAATCTTAATTAGGTACAGGATTCTTAGCAAAAGAGGGAACAAAAGAAAGGAAGAGACAAAAAGAGAGGGGGATCGGGGAGGGAGAAAGGGGAAAAGAATGAGAAAGAGGGGAAGGGAGGGACGGAGGACAGGAGGAAGGTAGGTGAGAATGTGCATTTTTGTCAGATTCTCCGGGTGGTCTGTAGCTCAGTAAAGAGTGAGTTCCGGAGGGTGGCAGGGTCTCAGCCACACTGTCCTCCACAATCGGACCTGGCGCCCCAGCTGGGGGAAGAGGAGACAGCCCCGTCCGAAGGCAGGCTCAGGAGGCAAGGATGTCAACAGCGCTCAGAGATGACGCAGGCACAGGGCCCAGACGCGGCGCGGTGGCCGTTGGAAGGTCCGCCCGGAGGCACGGGCCGTGGGCTGTGGCTTGTGTCCGAGGACGTGGCCAGAAACCAGTCCTAAGTCCCTGCCCCCCTGAGGACTCTGTCACCACAAATCACCTCTGGAAGCCCCAGGTGGCTCAGTGGTAAACAGTCCGCCCGCAGTGCGGAAGACATGGGTTCGATCCCAGGGTCAGGAAGATCCCCTGGAGAAGGAAATGGCAACCCACTCCAGTATTCTTGCCTGGGAGAGCCCATGGACAGAGGAGCCTGGTGGGTTCGATCCCTGGGTCAGGAAGATCCCCTGGAGAAGGAAATGGCAACCCACTCCAGTATTCTTGCCTGGGAGAGCCCATGGACAGAGGAGCCTGGTGGGCTGCAGTCCACGGGGACGCAGAGTCAGACACGGCTTAGAGACGCAGCACGAGCATGAGCAAGCTCACGCAATCGGGCTTTGCGAAGGTGCTCTTCAAAGTGTCGGTGAACTTTTAAAAATGAGAATAAAGTCAGTTGACAAAGGCAGCTTTGCTGAACTAATAGAGATTTTAGGAAGGAGTGCCTTAGAAGGATCTAGACTACTTGGGAAGCAGATTGTCATCAAGGAATTAGGTGACTCATTATCAAAGATAGATACGTACTGCCTACTTCAAGGGGCGCATCTACCAAAACACCTCAAATTCACAAAAGCCCGATAGTGAATGACTTCCCCTACAGCTCCATGACAGGGAGACGCTGTGAAGAACAACCAGTAAGCCTTCCCTTCCTCCTGACAAAACAGGTGTGTGCTTATTTGCTCAGCTGTGTCCAACTCTTTGCGACTCCATGGACTGTAGCCCACTAGGCTCTTCTGTCCATGGGATTCTCCAGGCAAGAGCACTGGAGTGGGTTGCCATGCCCTCCTCCAGGGGATCTTCCCAACCCAGGGATCAAACCAAAGTCTCCCACATTGCTAGTGGATTCTTTACTGTCTGAGCCACCAGCAAAACCCTACAAGACAGGACTTCTATTGATAATCAATTTAGGCACGTAAATAGGAAAATACTTCATAGAGGACAGTGAACTGAATGATACTTCAGCAGATGAATTCTCAATCCAGCAATTTTGACATCCACCAAGATAAATAAACTGAAGTTCTATTAAACAGGGAAGGATGTTGATATAGTCTACACTCATTTGTTCTACAGAAAATATCAAATTCTCCCTTTTCTGAAGAATCTTGGAGCCTCTCACCAAGAGAACACAGGCCCAAAACCATGTATTCAGGAATTCTCTAAGCAGTGTTACTTTAGCTCCATTGCCAGAATCATCAAACCTGTGGGATGGAACATCTTTGGTTTGCCTTCGTCCAAGGTCAGGTCTCCTTTCATAGTTAGAAAAAGTGGCTTTTGCATATTGTAGAATATTATGCAAGGGCTAGAATGGCTGGGATCTTAGAGCAAGATCCTTTGCAATAACCAGAGTGCACTGCCAGTTCTTGGAACCTGCTGCTCCCTTCATATTTGGCATTAACCAACTCATTGTCCGTGTCTAGACAAGTGCTATGGGCTGCATAAACACTGAATTGCTACATAAAGCCTCTATTCATCCAGAGTGAAAATGTGTCAACATGTAGCCTCTAAAGTCCAAGAGGGGCCTTTGTTCAGAGAAAGGACTCTTCACAGTTCCTTTAGTTTTAAATTAAGATTTATTTATTAACATTACAAAATTTAAAACCTAATCCCCTTACATTTTAAGTGCAACTTATGAGTCATGTTCTTCGATTTATAGTTCTGATAAGAATATTTTTCGTTCTTTTATTATTTGATTAACTCAAACTAAACAAGCTAAATTCCTTTTAATAATCATTCCCATTTACCAGTTTCCCAAGTTCTTTAGTCACTTCCTTAAGTATTCTAACTACATTTGCAAATATCACACATTGACTGTTCTCTTCTAAAACTTCAAATGCCTGACAAGGTAAACGAAATAATCTTTACAAGCAAAACAATTCATGAGCTAATTTAATACTAATTTAGTGAATCTCAAGTTATCCTAAACATTTAAGAATGATTCATAAAATTAGTCAAATTATTATGTGTATCAATTTAAAATTATAAGTCTGAAATCAATAATCCAAGTAAACCTGAAAGCACATGGTATGTCAGATTCTTTAAGCATTGCACTTTAAATAACAAATATAGTAGATTATCCCAATGACTACTTACTCCTATACTTTACACCAAAGTATTATTCGTGGGCTAGTTAAATTTATTATATTTAAATTTAATACTAAAACTCAATATGGTTGGAAGGACGCTTAGCTGCACAGAAGTGAAGTTGGAACATCCAGGCAAATTGAGGTGACTGCTGATCATTAGACCTGAGATGGCTGCTTATCTTATGAATTCCAGGCAGGACACTACTTTGAGGAAACTTACTTGCAGAGAGCAGTTTGTTCCCTGGGT